AGACGTGTGCTTTTCTGATCGCACGAATGGTCAATACTTGAAAAACCTTGTTGAATCAAAAGGAGATGACGCAGAAGCAATTGGAAGTACGTCATGTAATCAGAAGATATTCATTAAATTCTTTTGATTTTTAATAATATAGCCTATATTTAACAATTTAAAACATAAATATAATTATAATTCTCAAAGTAATCAATATTATATAAGGAAAACACAGAAGATATGGACAATTAAAATAATATTAAAATAATACTATTAAAATACTGACATTCTTATATGTTTCAATTTAGCACAGAAAAAGCGGCTTGCAATGTTGGATCTTTTAATAGCGGCATCTCGTGAAGGTTTGATGACTGATTCAGATGTTAGGGAAGAAGTCGATACTTTTATGTTTGCGGTATATATTTGTAATTTCTCTTGATTTTTTATATAATTATTTGGTATGTATATAATACAGTATGATTATAGGGTCATGATACTACATCGATGGGTATATGCTTCATTTTGGCACTATTAGCTGAGCATAAGGACGTTCAGGTATTTATTTGCTCCATTAATTATTTCAAATAATTCCCAAAATTATTTATTAAAATTTATCAATATTAAATATTTTTAAATATCTTTTTGTGTGTGTTCTTTTTGTCTATATAAAAGCATTAAAATAACAAATGTATTTTTAATTAATATTTGTGATACAGGAATGTGTTAGGAACGAAATCGATACTGCTATGCAAGAGCATGAAGGGAAAATTACTATGAAATTATTGCAACAATTACCGTATTTAGACAGATGTATCAAAGAAGGATTACGCTTGTATCCTCCTGCATATAGTATAGCACGCACTGTTGCAGAAGACATAAAATTACGTACGTATCACATTAATTTTTTATTGTATGTTTTAAATTACTTCAGTTAGTTTAAATAAAATTTAAATAAAATTTCTTAATATATCATCAAATATTTGTATACTAAATGCCTATAAATAATGCAAGATCTCTATTTAAAAAATTTTAAAACCTTAATATTTTATTTATAATATTTATTTATATAATTTTATAAAACTTTATGTATAAAGCTACATATAATACGACATTCATATTATTTTCTAAAAATAATACTACCTAATAAATTTAAATAATTATTTCTTTTATATTTTTTATTACCCAAATTGTGTTCATCTATTGCTGCGTTGAATTAAATGGATATTTGGCTTTAAAATTGTAATAAAACTTTTAATTATTTTTAATAAATCTCATTTTATAATACGCTTTTAGAGTCACATTTAGTACCTGCTGGAACAACCGTGCAGCTTTATATTTACGGAGTTCACAGAGATCCCAATTTTTGGCCAAATCCAGAAGTGTTTGATCCAGATAGATTTTTGCCCGAGAAGATTCGAACTCGTCACCCTTATTCGTATATACCATTCAGTTCTGGACCACGTAACTGTATCGGTATGCTATAACCTCTATATACTTTGTTATATCAACAAATTGTGTTATATTATATTAATTATATTATATTAATTATAGGCCAACGATTTGCTGTGCTGGAAATGAAGGCGATGATAACCTGTCTGATACACAACTTTTACTTGGAACCTGTTGACTATTTAAAAGATCTTCAGCTGCTGATGGATACGCTACTTCGCCCTGCTCATCCAATTCGTGTAAAATTTATCCCAATTCATAAAATTAATAATGTCTCTAAATCAAATACCAATAAATTATAATCTTTATTGAAAGCAAATCTGCCATTAAGATCGAGTGATGTGATGATTCTGGATAGTTCGTCGTGTTGTATCACGTCACTTTCGGGAGTGCTTCTTACAATGGTTGACTAAGATTTCTTTTATAAAAAAATAGTAAAGATATAACTTAATTGCGTTAATAAATAATCCGCTTACACCTATATATACCTTAACTGCAATTATACTTTATTTCTTAATGTAATTTCTTGTGTAACAATTAATACGCATATATTCTATCTAAAAAAAAGGTGTGTTAAATTGACTCAAATCTATTAAAATCTTCTCAAACGTCTCGAAGTTTTTTATTGATTCTTTTCCGCGACGATGATTTGTTCTCTCGCTGCGCTAATAAGTTCGTGAGCGGTTGTCATTGTATATTTTGAGAGTTGTTTGTATTGACATTGATATAACATTATAGCAAATTGTAGTAAAAAGTGAAAAACGTTAAATACCGCGCGCGAAGCGCGCGTCTGTAATACTAGTATTTAAAAATTTTGTATGAAATGTAATTTTATGTAATGTTATGTAATGAAAATGCTTTTCCTCATGGGAAATTTTGTATATGGTTGCATCTTAGATTATATATGGCTATATGCAAAGAGAAATAAAAGTTGTATAAAAATATACACAGGGTTGGGTAAGTTAATATATTTTTTAAACTAAGTTAAGTTAAAGTTAACAGTCTAAAAATTTAATTTAGTTAAGATACAAGTTAGTGTATCCATAATAAAATTAATTGAGTTAAAAGTTAAGTTAATAAGAAAAAGTAATTGAACAGTTAAAGTTAAATTTTTATCATTTTATAATTTTGGGTTTCTAAATAAAGTATATATTTGTTATACTTATTTTTATCGAGTCATGGAAAGAGGACCGATTTCAAAAGACTTCTTCCAACGTGATTTAATGCACAGAAGGTCGAACAGTGATTCATTCCCGACTATATATTTATTATATTATTACAATTGTCTTGATGTGTGTTCTCAAATTTGAGTTTGAAGACACTAACTTTGAAATGTATTTTATTTTGGGTTTACAAGAAGCACTAAAAATGTAACTTCAAGAAAGTTAGATCAAAAGTTAATAATTACCGATAAAATGTAACTAAATTAAGTTACAAGTTAAGAGCCTAGAATGTAATTAAGTTAAGTTAAAATTACTTAATTTTTTAACTTTTTAACTTACCTTTTATCTTTTTAACTAGCCACTACTCAAATCTGCAAATATGTATATGATGGAGCGCGGAATTGATTGATGTGTGGTTGATGAAAAACTCAAATGTTTATTAAAGTCTAATTAACAATACGTAACAAGACACTGGCAATTGTGCAATAGCACACAATTAAAGATTGAATACGAGTTCTGCAGATATTACTTTAGCTGAATTTATTTCGGAGATTACAGAGACTTATGTGTATACTGCCTTGTTCCCGTTTATGCTTCTGATCCTTTATTACTGCTAAGTAAGTATGTACACTCGCTCACTAAAAGGTTGCGACACTTTTTTTTTATTGGTTTCTAATTTATATTTAATATACGTAATATATACTTTATAGATAACTAATATTTTGCAAATGCAAACCACAATGTACTATCTTTAGTCTATAAGAGGCAGTTTAACACCAATCGTGGTCCGCATTTGCAAA